CATTTAGCTCATGATTTCATATGAAGCTTTTAGCTGAAGTCACTGGTGTGACCGACTTTATTCTGAGGTAACCGTGAAAAAAATAGAATACAAATGGATTAAAATTCATATTTTGGTGGATATTCCATGATTGACAACGTTTGATGTTCTGTAGCAGCCATTCTGTAAAATGCATTGTTCATTAAAATGTCTCTGGTGTTCCTTTATTATGTGTAACACCAATGAGGATCAGTTACACCAGTGACTCAAAAAAAGCAGTGATTAGTATTATTATGCAGCCATGCTGTTGTAGGATGTGCAGAATGTGGCTAAACATTATCATGCTGACAATGACGTTGTCTAAAAGGCAGCGTTTCGCTTTACAGGAGAAGGAAAAAACCTTTACTTTTAATGTAGGTCAATGGAACCAGACTTCTTTCCAAGTAATTTCTGGCCATTTCTTTTGGTCTGATCATCATGCAATTCACATACAATGTAAAGAACAACAGGTATTTTAAATTATGTCAAAAACTGAAAAACGTGATATGTTGCTGCAAAATGTATTCATCTTTCAGTGTTAATGATTCCTTCACAAATCAATCAATGTCACTATGATAAATCATGGATTTCAACTGCCTTTTTAACTTTATGCTGGTAACAGTGTGGGTGGTCAATCTGAAAGGTTGACTTGACAAACTACAACTTTTACACATTACAGTACTCCTTGTCTTAAACATAACTGAACCATAATCCACTGAATGATATGTTCTAAGCTGTACTGACTCCACACACCCCGTCTCGTCTCCAGGCTTTTATTTTACTGTTCTGTTTAAAACATTCGGTTATGAAAAGGTACAAATACGAACTTTTCACCTGGAGAAACTTATTTAAGGTTCACAATCAGACCTTAAACCACTGTTGGAGCTTTGAGGGAACATTTACACTGTTTGTACCTTGATGAACGAGAAATGTTCCTGAACAGAACCTTTATTTCTAACAGTGTATGACCAAAAAATAAAAAAAACAAAACAAAAACAAAAACACTGGGCCTCATTCACCAGCAGTTCTTAAGCAGAAATTTCTTCTTAAACCCATTTATGCAGTTTTGACGAAGACTCTGACTCACCAGTGTTCTCTTATCTGAGGTTTGTTCTTAGGTAAGAACAGAATCTACACACACTCAAGAGCACAAAGGTGAGAACAGTTCTGCGCTTTAAGAACACGTCATGAATCTGACGCAGACTTTTTATTAGGATCTTTCTTAAGAACACACTTAAGGTCAAACTTAGGAAGATACTGAAGAAAAAGGACCAACGACACTGATAAGGTTAAACGTCCTACGCTGTAAAAAGTGTCTCGTCAGATCTAGCTAAACATATTACTTCATGTGGGAACAAGTAAATCAACTAGTTTAATTCAACTTAGATAAATATTTTAAATCAGTGTAATTTTTGAGTTGAATCAAACCAGCTCGATTACTTGTTCCCACATGAAGTAATATTTTCAGGTTGATCTGATGAGCCACTTTTTACAGCGTGACTTTGTACTGCTTTTGTTTACATGCAGCTGAAGTGGACTCAAATCACTGCTTTCTACATTTCACATACTGTTCCAACGTTGTTGGCATTGAGGTTTGTACTTATCAAATAGGCGTTGTTTCTAGATCAGTCTAAGCTTGAGTCTTAAATTACACTTCGTGAGAGGCTCCCTGCTTTCGCTTGCAATTGGAATTTTTTCTTAGTAAGTAAGAAAATATCCCTGCGAATGTATTAACATTATAGACTTTGCTATAATATATATTTTGCCACACTCAGCTTCAAATTCATCAAAGTGTCTTCCCTGGTATGAAGAGCAGATGTTGTATAAACAATGATTTGTCAGTTTTCCTTTCCAAACTATCTTAAACCCTTTAGTGGTTCAAACAGGTTTGAGTGCTAATATTACAGATGTCTAGGGTTTGGCGATATGCCCAAAGTAGCAAGGTGTCATAAATACTGGCACAAATATTTACATGAGGTAGAGTTTTCTGTAAAATAAACCAGCTTAACACTTAACCCACTTAACTACAAGGGCCTGTACTTCAGCTCAGTTCTTCATTTCATAGTAGCTACTCAGTAAGTCTCTAGTTACTGAATAATAAGTCTTAAGAGAATTAATTGAAAAAACAAGCTAAAAGGGTTAACGGATTAATTACAAACCAGCAGAGAAAAAACGCTGACTTACCTGCTGATTAACATTAAAGGAAAATAATCCTTCATATGTTTGTCTGAGTTTATGTAATTAATTTTTAAATGACAATTTTCCAGCCTCTACTTATCCTTTATGCTGTGCTTACAAGATGCCGTTAAAAAAGACATTGTTCCGTGCATCATAGCAGTGACCGATGGCGGGATGAAGTCAGGCAAATGTTGGCATGGCGACAGCATGACTGGCAAAAATTGTATATATAATAGAGGATACCTTTAGCATAAGACGTATGTCTTATTCCTTTCAGCAGTGCACATTGTTTATTTAAGAAGAAAACAGGCAGGAGGACTCTGCTCTTTACATTTTGTTGTTTAAAACTGTGTTTGCCTGGAGACGTTTGGCATCCATGGCTCCCAAAAAAATCAACACCCGGTTTATTTCACTGCTGCAGTTGATGGCAACAGTGTTGGAAAACTAAGCTGAAGTGCTGTGGTTCATCGCTGTTCCACTAAAAACAATGGAGTATCCAGTTTACCATTGACCACCAGCACGTGAACGCAGCATTGGACTCATATATGCAAAAGACCTCATTTGGAAAGCAGTCTGAGCTGAAACACTCCTTATACCTTCAGCCTGAGTGGGCGGAGCTAAACTGCTGTAGGGTGAAAAGGTGGATTTATGTACAGTCCAATGCAAAAGTTTGGACACTTCTAGTCAAATCACATGGTGTGCTGATGTTCTATTTGAAAATCTGTTAACACATTTCTGCAAGAAAGAAATATGGCATTTCTCTGCTAATTTTAGCACACAGCTTCTATGTATTTGATTAGATTAGATTAAGTGACCCTTATTACCCTTAGTGTCCCACAACGGGGAAATTTCACCTCCACATTTAACCCATCCGTGCAGTGAAATACCACATACACACTAGTGAACACACACACTAGGGGGCAGTGAGCACACTTGCCCGGAGCGGTGGGCAGCCCTATACACAGCACCCGGGAGAAGTTCAGGGTTAGGTGTCTTGCTCAAGGGCACCTCAGTCACGTACTGTGGGCTCAGGGGTTCGAACCCCTGGCTGGTTCCCTAACCTCCAGCCCACGACTGCCCCATTCAACATATTGGAAAAAAATGAAACATAAAAAAAATGTGTATCATTCCTTTCCCCAATTCAGCAAGTAAACAGTATTTGTGCAATAAAACACACAGAAGCTTGTTCTCTGTAGAGCACGTGTGCTTTTATGTTACCTTTCCTCAGAAAATCAACAAAACATGAGCTGGAACTTTTGGACATGAGTTGATTTTCATGTCATCAAAAAACAATTTAAATTGAGCTATTTTTTCAGTTTCATTTCAGTATATGTGGTGTATGGACTGAAAGAACAGCACAATCTGAAACTTTCACAGTGTTTACAGTTAACATGAAACCCACCTTTAAAAACAACGTGTGGGATTTTCACATATCCAATATTAATAAAGCTCTGTATTCAGCGCTGGGCCCAGTCTGTATCTAGAGAAGTCCTGAGCTGAGAACCGTCAGGTTTTCATGTGAAAGTTCACTCTAACCACACCCTTTGGCTCCAGCCTCTCCTTTCGATAACTGCTGGCGGGGAGAGAAGCAGTGCAAGGCGCGGCCCTCGCTCTTATCAACCTTCCTGAGGTGATTTAACGTCACGCACAGTGGAATAGAGTTCTCACCTGCAGTGCAGCTCTGAATGTCCAGCCATGGCAAACCAGCCCACTGGTGATGAAAAGTAATGCACTGAATGGTCATCACCGACAATCATCAACACAATAATTGCCAAAAGTCAGTAAAGTGAAAGACAAAACTGCTGAAGTAACACATTGTTCATATGGAAACGATGACGATGTGTGAATAAAGTAAAGCACCACTTTTTTTGGTTCATGTTGAAGATCAGATCAGTTGAAGTTACCCAGCTCTTCTCATAGGTCCGATCAGAAGGCCGTTAGAGTTTATAACACTGACACAATAAAACCCAGTTATTTTTATAAGCTAACAGTAAGATTAGGTTTGGTGTGTGACCTCGTTTAGAGAGACGAGTCGACATTTTCTGAGGAACAGTGCACTCGCGCTCACTCGCGTAAAACATGTTCTCTTAACTACATGAATGAGAGAGAAATGTTTCACATTATTTGAATCTGTTTTTATTACTGAGGGTAATACTGTACTATTCTGTTACTGATTGTCTACTGCAGTGACTTATAAACAGCACAGTCAGTGCAGCCGTACATGACTGTATACAGTAAATCCATTAGGAAATGAAACTTATGTGCTCAATAATTTGCAGTACTACTTGTTGAAAATCCATAAATTTACTGTTTTTTTCTTGTGGGAAATTTGTATAAATGAGCCATTTGATGTCTTTGCATCTGCACTGTTCATATCCAGAACGTCTCATATTTCAAAAGTAGTTGATTAAATCTAACGGCAGATAATTTGACACTTGACGGATAATCAAGTATTTTCTTTTATCAAACATCTGGTTACAAAAAAATGTGTATATTTCTTTGTTCATAACATCTGAATCTCAAATTTAAATAAATACAATAATTATTAATATGACTAGTTAGTTCTAGTTTTGTATATAAAGATAATAACTTCCTTTTGTATACATGAAAAACGTCCATTCTAAACTTCACTCCACCCATTTTTTGAAGTCTTCTTTGAAAGAAAAGTGAGCAAAAAACACCACAATTTATAGTTTTATTTATTTAACCTAGAAATCTATTCAGCAAAACCAACATAAAATCATAATCCGTGCTGCTCATGTTACAAATGTGTTACTATGAAATAACGAGGCACGACTATACGGTGTGTTTTAAAACCTTGTTTATTTTTTTTTTTTAAACAAAAATATCATTTTACATGTCATTTATAGAATAACTCATCCAGAATGGTACCCGATACAGAGACTGACATGGGCGTAGTCGGCAGTTAATCTGTTGGTGGCGAGAGACACACACTGCGCTGTGCTCGACTGCTCGACTGCCCCCATGTCATCTTTCTCCACTCTCAAGGATTTAAGATAAAAAGTTTCATGATATCCGTAGCTGCAATTATACATGGCTTTACAACTGCTCTCGTCGGCCCCTCTGGTGGGTCGCCTCCTCGACCGCGGCGTCGCGGGAGACTGCGATAAGATTTAAACATGGGGTTCGGAAATGCAGAAGGTAAAGGTGGTGATCAAGTGAAATTCTCTTAAAATGGAGGAGGGTAGAGAAAAAGGGGGGGGGGGAGAAAGGGATGCGAGGAGCCGTGGAGGGTGGGTTTCATTTCGTGGCCTCTGCAGCCCTCTTCTCTTGCTCAATGTCTGTTAAAAAAAAGGGAAGCGTGTGTAAGAATGACGGTGATGCAACAGCAGAAACAAGCAACTCTGGGATTGTCCACGATCCAAAGCTGCTGGGAAAGTCACAAGAGCACAAGGCAACCTGGGCGTTACTCACTGTAGGATATGCAAGTATGATGAGCACATATGAGAACTGTTTGTGTTCTGTGAAGAGAACCCTCTGACTGTTACACAAGCACCACTGTAACCGCCGTTCATTCAGGCTTTTTAGAGCTTTACTCAACCGAGGAAACTTCTGCATTCGAATGTTAAGAAACAGTTTTTAGGATCACTGAATTACCTTCTGCTCTTTTGACATTAAATTCAAAGTATGGGAAAAACCAAACTAAATCTTCGGCACCTACATCCATCACCCAGCCTGTCTAACTCTTCTGGCACTCACAGCATGTGCAGGTGTCTTTCTTGTGTACGTTTCAGAGGCCCAGTTTCCCAAAAGCATCTTAGCGTTAAGATTATCTCAACTGGTAGAGAGAGTGTTCTGTGTGGTGCTCGCTCTATCATTCAGGAATCATCTGTATGTTTCCAAGAAAGCTATCAGGAAAAGCCAGCTCAGTCACCTGACTGTGGCCACTCTGGTCTTCAAACAGCTTCTATGGTTCGTAAAGCATATCATCTCTCCATGTCAGTCATTTGATGTTATCTAGTTTATGCAAAGCTACGCTCTTATTTATAGGTGTTGATTTTATTGTTCCAAGCAGGCATCACGAACGCGGTCTGACCACTTTCACTCTTCTATATGGTTCGGTACGTGTAGTGTGCCGTGGTTCTAGTTTGCCATTTTATCTGAAATGTAGAGAATTTCACCACTGAATTAGCATTAGAGCATTAGTTATTCATTGCTCATTTGCATGTCCCACCTCTTATAAGACTTCTCAGGATCTGGATCTCCAGAACATTTATCCATATTATCTATGAATTTGTTAATGCAAGCGAGTTCTATTAAGTCCTATTCATCTGAGAACAGTACAGCTCCCTGAATATCATTCTAGAGCACCTCAGCCAGACATGCACTGAGGAAAGGGTGTGTAGTATTAATAGAAGTGGCTGTGGCTCAAAGTAAGAGCCTCTCCACACTACAGTCTTCTTCAGCTGTCCTGAGGAAGCTTAGAGCTTAACAGCATCAAACAAAGCCAAAGGGAAATTGGCATAAACCTCCTCAAACAGCTTTTCTGTGTCATAAATGCTACAAGTAGGTTTACGGACACACGATACTGAGAATGGCATAAAACCTCCAACAGCTTCTATCAGATTCTGTCACATGCAACTGGCTTTCAAAAGCCTAGAAAGTGGATTCCTTTGTTGCTGAAGTGACAGTGATTGACACATCTGCACTACATTACTATTATCTTGTCCTCTCCATCAACTAACACGTCACTGTGCTCTGTAAGATGAGCGGAACTTGTGTCAAAGCGGATGATGTAGGGCAAAAACTCCTGAAGGCCACCCCTGCATTGGATCTGCAGTCTTCTGTTACCTTCAGTGGTCAAGGCAAAACTCTCAAGGCAAAGAAAAAGGGAAATATTTGGCCCAATAACATTTCCTCTTTTTACCCCTACCCCTTGTTTTCGAGTGTCACACTAACCCCTTGGAACTGAGTTACAGGGTAGTGGTTGAAATCTTCCCTCTGAAATGGGACCCTCAAATAAAAAGAGCATCACTTCATTAACAGCTACCAGTGCTGCTCTGTAGGCGACCCTGCCAGTCTGCAGTGACAGCAGAGGAGGGTAAAGTTCAGCTCCTCACTGCTGGGCTTTAGTTACATTTAGGAATTATATGCCTTCAAAGAGGGGGCAATTATTTATTATCACCCACCCCTAATTCTTCAGTGATATGAAGCTGAACTGTTAGTATTAATAAGTTACACTGTAACAACAAGTTAATAAACAGTCAATCATCTAACAGAGACTAATAACAGGATCAAAATACTCAACATGTAACACAAACACAATCAATAAATAATCTCTTTCCTCCTGGTTCTGAGCCAGAGATAACTCGAAAGATCTTCCACAGCAGTACAATTAAAGGACATGCCTTTCTATATTTTGATTCACTATCTTGGCCCTAAGAGGCTGCAGGTGAAACAAGGACAAGCAGTAATTTCCACTGTTTACTCTCAGTTCGTTCTCTATGCGCCAACTACATCACATATCGCCTCTTACGATCTGCTGTTTGTTTTCCTCTGCCGAGTTCACACAGAGGTGTGTGTGGACACGGCTCACATGCTGGAACAATAGGACATGCTAACATTAAATGACGCTACCAAACCCGCTTACCCTCCTGGGTCGGAAGGGTGTTCTTCTCCGCCGTGTTCGTCTTCTTTAGACACTTCTTGTCGAAGTTCTGGACCTCCTGCTTGACGGGGTTGTCGCTCATTTTGGATGTTCTGTGTGGAGAGAGGCGATTTCAGTGAACAGTTTAAGTGAACTGGAAGAAATTCCAGGCATTAGGCCGAGGACTGGCTCTGTTGGTTTTCAGGACAAACATTTCATCCTCAGTCACTGTCTGTAAACAAGCTAACTTTGGGGGTGAAAACCCTGGGAAGACTGGATGATTCTTATCTTGAAGTTCTAAACCCAACAGGTAGTCAGACTGAGCGTGTTCAGTGAATGTACTCAGGTAAAAAATTCAAGATTGCCCTTCATTGCCTCCAAAACCAAGTCACCTTTTTTACCTGTTACTTCACGCCCTTGCTCTTTTCTACTGACTGTCTGGACACGTAGCCCAGCCCCACCCAGCCCTGAAGTTAACTGTACATTACACAACACCTCCTATCAGTGAACGGAGTTAGTTTAAATCCAAACACTCAACAGGTGCCAAAAAATACACTGCAGCACAGCCCCTTCCTGCATCTGATTTAATTCTTTATAACGTTACGTCGTTGCCAAAGGCAGCAAATTATCAAAGTAAGAAAAAAGAAGTAGTTTCTGAATCAAACCAAGGGAAGTGGCTGCAGGAAACTGTAACCTCTTCATTCAGTGCAACCTTTCTTCTCTCATGGCGTATTATTCAGTAGATACTGTTCCACTGTGACGACAACTGTCGCTCAGAACGCTCTGGAAATGCTGTTCACTCCTAAGACGTGTTAGATTAGTAACTAAAGATGGATCAGAGAATGATCGCTGACACAGAGCTATCTGAGTGGTGGGAATATTAAGGCACTGACTCATGAGCACACAACATTTCACCATTAGAAACCTGCAGATGTCAGAACTCAGATTCACATAACTGACTGCAAAGCGTTGATCAGCACTGGGCACTTTCTGGAAAAAAGCATTCCCACTGCTCATCAACGCTCCCAACAATGTTGCCCACGTTTGCAGCCGACACAAAAAGGCCACTGTTGCGCTATGCAGATTTGTTGCCGTGCGGGACGTTGGGCGCCAGCTTGATGCAAATGCAGTCTTTCTAACCCGACTCTTCAGCAAGGAAAAACAAAACACTTATTATCATGTGAGTTCCTTATCTGCGGGTCTGCAGGTGCCCTTGCACAAGAGCTGGGTGTGGTGCAGGTGGAGAAACACACAATGGACCTGGTGCGTGTTTGAAGCCAAGATAAACACAGTAAGAGATTTATTTGTCCATCCTTGCCATAATTAAGCAGTCTTAGTTTTGTCCGGTGTATTAAGAGAGGCCCAGAGTGCATTTAGTGCACATAAAGAGGGTTGAATCACCCAGAATCTCCGTGCCTCACCCCACCTAACAGCACTCAGCAGTTGTCAAGCGGTTAACAGTTCCTTCATGTAGGTTTGACCTGTCCTGGTCTCAGCGCTGTGCCAGCGGCAAATTAACTGTACTAAAAAGAACTGGCTTACCAGAGATAATGCACTTATAATACGCTCGATAAGGCAGACAAACGACAGACGGTAAAATGCATCTTAAGTGTTGATTCTGGCTAAGCTGGTGGAGAAACTGACACCTATATCACACATATTTATATCATTTGCAGTAGAAATGCAGTATTTAGGCTGGAAATTATAGCCTCGCTAAAAGAAGCGCTACTTATTTGAACAGATATGTTTGTAATATTACATATAGATGCGTTAAAATAGAGAAAGACGGAAAAACAGACTGATATCCACAGATAAGAGTAACTGAATGGCACCAATGTGCACAAAGGAACGCTGCACAGTTCTTGGCGTTCAGCCCTCGAGTTGAAACCGTCGTGTTTTCCCAGGTTTCATACAGAAATAGCCGAATAAAAATCGTGGGATTAAAAATCTAATCCCTCAGACTCAGCAGGTCTGGAGTGTCCTGTCTGAGGTGAACGTACTGGGCAGAGTACCTGCATAGCGCGAGCTGCCTAGCCTCCCCTCACCCCCCCGGTAGCGCTGCCTCTGGAATCTAGGCTGAGCGTAACAGTCCGTGTGAAACGGGCGCGCGCAGCTACCTGCGGTCGACCCGTCTTACCTGGCGCTGTCGTCGCTGCGAGGCCTTCACGAAAAGTCGTTCTGATGGAGCTGTGCTGTGCTTTAATCCGCGGAAGACGCTCGGTTTAAATAGTAAATCACGCCCTGCTCGCGCTAGCATGGAGGCGAGCCGCTCGCGCTCATTGGTCCAGTCTAAAGCCGTCCACCTTATCGTTGGAGAAACACACCAATACCCCCCGCCCTTTTACTGCGGGAGCACAAACCACCGCTGGAAAACTGACTGTGCTGCGGTCTCTTCGTCTTTAGTGGAGTTTCAGTCACTCAGACGATCAAATTAGAATAACTGCATTAATTTAAAGCCCAACAAAGAAAAACAAACAAACCTGCTGTTAATCTCCTTTCGGCAGGGCGAGTCAGGTGAATTTGCTGCGGTGCAATGGCACCATCGTGTGGCCAGGAATTGTATTGCAGTAGATAAAACTGTTTAAAGTGTTCAAAATAAATTAGCGGAGATAAACTTTTATCATTTTATCTTACACAATTTTATCTTTCATAACAATCTTTATAACAATGTCTAAGATAAGCTTGTGTTTGTATTTTATTTATTTTGCTTCACAAAAGTGCAATAAATGCATAAATTAAAAAAGAAGACAGACAACAACAAAGCTGGTTCTGGGTGGGAGAAGAGTGCAAATACAAAATATTAAAATACTAAGAACGGGGTTAAAGCAGACACATTAATAAAATACAGATTCGAAATAGTAACATTTAAATAAGAAATAAACTAATGACGTTTTTAAAAAAATAAAAAAAATAAAAGTGGTTTAATATTTATTATTCACTGTAAATCAGCAAAATTATTTCCACTGAGGCGCCTCACTGTCATAATACGTCTCACTTTATTCATATAGATGCAGAATTTGTTTCAGGTTATAAAACAAACAAACAAAACCTCCATCATTCCCAGGTATATCTGCATCCATATAACCTGTATTTCCACTCACATAATCATTCATATGTGACCTGATAAAGTCTGAAGTACAGTCGTGGCTACAGGACAGTGACAGATATAAAATCCTCGCCTGGTGGAAACTGGAAACCGTTACTAACTGTAAACTGGAAAATTCCAACGATGGTTCAAACTTTATAAAAAGTGCACAGTTTTCCCGTAACAGCAACTTAGAGGTGGGAGGAAAATCGATAGTACAACATTGAGATATTTTAGTTATGAATACTTTGTCTCTGTTAGACTGATACCAGGATGCACTTCTGTCTTGATCCACAAGACGGCGCTGTTTCTTTCTTACACTGTGTTCACCCGCCACTGTAAACTGCTCTGGATGAGGATGCAGATAAAGCCTGTTTGGAATGTTGTTTATCTACTTAACCAATTTAAATATCTGCTAAACATGTAAACATAACGAAGAAGTATTTTTAAATGTTGATTTATTAACAAACGTAAAATTTCACAAAGCAGAATCTTCAAGTATCGGAAACAGAATTGAATCGTGGGATTGTGGTCGTATCGTATTGTGGTGGTGGCAGCGATTCCCACAGTAATGTAGCTGATCGGCCGAGACGTGTTTAGTGTGGAAGGTTCCCTTGTTTTGTGCTGAAGCTACAAGGCTAATGTGGTTAAATGTGGTTTAGTCTTTAGTCTGGTGAGCACCGTGCAAACTGCGTGACTGGATTATTCTAAACGTGCCTCAAATCACACAGTAACTTCAGTAGTTTGGTTTGTGTTTTTGACATACAGCTAATAAGACAGGGCTTCTCAACCTTTTCCACCTCAAGGCCTTTTTATCACTAGAAAGCTTGAAGCCCACAAGGAAACAAAACGGCTTTGCTTAAAAATGACATTTTTGGGAAATTTTCAACAGTGTTATGTGTGTGTGTGTGTGTGGTGCAGTGACTCCTGCAAAGTGTGATGTGTATCAGTGAAGATGAAATATTAGCAAAATATAGGTGTGAGTGGACATCTGGAAGGACAGGTGATTCTAGAGGCAAAAAAACTGACGAAGCTGCCTTTGTGGTCTGTTACTGTGGGGCTTGTATTAATGTTGTAAACTGTCTGAAAACATTTCATATTTCTTTTTTATTGTTAAGTATTTTTTCACTGATATAGTGATAGGCCCACTACAAACTACTGGCCCCCCTCAGTATAGGTCCCAGGACCACCAAATGTGCTTCGCGCCCACTTCTGGTCCTCGGCCCAGTGGTTGAGAAACCCTGCATTAAGTGTTAGCCACACTAGCAAAGCTAAAGAAGCACATTCAGACCAAACGTGTCTTAGTTACTGACCACAGCTGAGGTAAAAGGAAAGTTGTGTTTTATCCTTTTTGCAAATTCCATTCAAGCTTTTAGGTATTAATATTGATTGTGATACTTATGGATTATGGACACATTTAAAAACCTACACATCTACAATAGGACTTAGCTGTCACACATACTGATTGCATTATTTGGTGCATAGAAGTAACTTATCCTTACAGGTTTGTGTCACATAACATAGACAAAACCCCAATAACACCTGAGTGCATCACTTAATCTGGAATATTGATGGATTCAATTGATGGATACTTTTTTCCTTATTTATAGTTTATATATTAATATTGGTACCGTGCTCTTAATGACATATAATCAAACAAGTTACCTTTCTAAAAAGCTTAAAATTACTTTTACACAGTTTAAAGGCAAAAATACACGCAAAACACCGTCAGGGTGAACCTCTTAGAACCGCAGTCCAAAGACATGCAGTCAGGCCAGTTGGAGATACTGAACTGCCCCTGTGTGTGTGTGTGTGATTGTGTATGTCTGTCTGTCTGCCATGCGATTAACTGGCGACCTGTCCAGGGTGTTTCCTGCCTTCCACCCAATAAGCGCTGGGATAGGCTCTAGCTCCGCCCCCAAACCCTGAAGGACAAGTGTCTAAAATGATGAGTAATAGTGAGAACCTCAATTGACTGAACCCTGGATTTGTTTCATGGAATACTGTGAAAGTGGGACACCTATACTGCCGAAATTAGACACTTAATTTCCTTACTCTCGGCCCCTGAGGTGACAGGGTGGTATGTTTTAATAAGGCCTGGACACTAATTAATATATCAAGGCCATAAATTAATATATTGAGAAACATAACATGTAGCCTCAATATATTCATTCAACTGTAGATTCATATATTTAAAATTAATCACCGTCTCACCACACAGGCTCTGTACGTATGTTTGCTGATATCTGGGTGTCTGTGGGAGAAACCTTTAGATTAAAACTGTCCAGCTGGCTTTGTGGTTCAACAGAAACCAGGCAGGTTTTTTTCTGAAACAAAATCTATACAATCCTCTGAATCTCCTTTTGACGAGGTAGAAAACCTATTTTGGCCAGAAGTTACTATTAAACATTGTCATCGTTATTGTTAACATGCAAACTAATAATGAACTTTACTGTATCCTTCCATAAACCCCTTACATGACATGAGTGGGTGTCACAGTGTGTAAGTAATGCTATTGGTTTTCGTGATCCTGGTTTATATATGGATCGTGTCACACTTCAGGAATGACATCACAAACATGAAACCCCACCGCTTTAAAACTTTACTTCCAAAAGATGAACTCAGTTATGATTTTTGATCACTGAAGTATGTACACATTAAGATATGGAGGATCAAGCTTAAGTTCCTCTTTTACCTTTTCCCATTTTACTAACATTCACCCTAATGAATTATTCCGCCACCTTCAGATCAATGCTTCACAATCCACTTTTTACAGCGCTAAAATATAAAGAGATACAGGAAACACAGTATATGGCAGATATATGCTCATCTGTGGAATCAGATTTTTTGGTATATATGAATATTGACTGATCCCTGAAACCTGATAATCTTAATTTTGGAGGCTGCTCAGCCTGCACGCCTCTCCAGCTGGTCATATATGGCTGTGGTGATGCCCCAGGTAACGCAGGAGCGGAGAATGACCAGTGAGCCTCCGCGGTACAGCAGGGTCAGACGGCACTGCCTGGCCTTCCACAGCTGCTGCCCGCAGGCCCTCAGCCCCAGCTTCTCTCCACCAACCTGGGCCTGCATGTTGGCCACCAGCACGGACAGAGGGTACAGAGGCAGGCTGATCAACATGGAGTTGACCACGCCAGAGAGGAAGGAGGACGCTATGGGGGAAAGGCCACGCTCCTTTAAGGCACTCGTCACTGGATCCTTCAGGCCAAAGTAGAGGGTGTTTCCTAAGGCGTTGCGGGCAAGTATAGGCAGCAAGGCTCGGTAATAGCCAGAGGCTAACGTTTCGGAGCTTAGTCGGACCAGGATGCTCCTGAGAGTGGGCAGGCTGCGGTCATTGCTGCTATTCTGCAGTATGTTCTGCACGCGCTCGAAGGGGGTGAAAATCAGAGCCTCAACCACACCCGTCCCGAACCCGGCCAGGGCAGGAAGGGCATTCCTAGGTAAGACTGAGCCAGTCCAGAGAAGCTGCTGTAGGAGAGTGTCCTGGAGGCCGAAAAGGAGGGTCCCATTGAGGGTCTTCATCAGCAGGGGTGGTGCCACGCCTCGGTACAGCTTGCGCGGGCCCTCCTTATACAGCTGCGCCACCGCCTCCCGGACCATGGTGTTGTGCAGCTGCTGGCGGAACACCGTCTTGTAGACGGGGAAGGTGATCACGGTGGTCAGAGTGGAGATGAGGCTGGACGTCCCACCGTGCATGTAGCTACGGAACCAGGCGGAAGGGCCCGCGACTGCTGGATCCTGATCTCCATCGATGTCTGCAGGAGTCCGCCCCATTGCTCTTCTCACACTGGTGTACAAGAAAAGATGATCAAGTAAGAGTGCATGCTAAGGATGTTATAGGAATGTTTATAAGGACTTTCAAGAAACAAAGAAGTTTGACCCGACAGCCGAGTCACACCCGATGAGGAAAAATGAAAATGTTTGCAGGATATTCTGATTTTTTTATTGGATCACGTTAAATACGTAAAGAAGTAACATCACTGGACTTTGCATTGAAAAACATCTGCAGAGGCCAGTTAAAACACACACACATGTAAACACATATATATATATATATATACACCGATCAGGCATAACATTATTCAGTGACTTCAGTGGTCAGGACCCCCATGGACCCTCACAGAGCAGGTACTATTTGGGTGGTGGATCATTCTCAGCACTGCAGTAACAGTGACGTGGTGGTCCTTCATCAGTGGTCACAGGACGCTGCTCACAGGACCCTGTGGCTGGATATTTTTGGTTGGTGGACTATTCTCAGTCCAGCAGTGACACTGAGGTGTTTAAAACTCCAGCAGCACTGCTGTGTCTGATCCACTCAGACCAGCACAACACACACTAACACACCACCACCACGTCAGTGTTACTGCAGTGCTGAGAATGATCCACCACCCAAATAGTACCTGCTCTGTGAGGGTCCATGGGGGTCCTGACCACTGAAGAACAGGGTAAAAGGGGGCTAACAAAGTATCAGAGAAACAGATGGACTACAGTCTGTAACTGTAGAACTACAAAGTGCACCTATATAGTAAGTGGAGCTGATAAAATGGACAATAAGAGTAGAAACAAGGATATATATATATATATATATATATATATATATATACATATATATACATATATATATATATATATATATAGAGAGAGAGAGAGAGAGAGAGAGAGATTTAATATTTCTAACCATATTTTAAACCATGTACCTTTCTTGCTGTCCTTCACTGAGGATGTCTGTCCTTCCAGCATCACTTCTCAGCGTCTTGCTTGACGGTCTCAGAGCAAATATCACTATGAAACATACTGGTTTTACATCAGTTCATAAGTTTATGTTCATCACTGCTCGCCGCTCCAGTTAAACCAGTGAGTCCTGTAAATCTACCATCTTATTCCGTCGGACTGTCGGGCGTTTTCTCGAGCACTTGTTCTCTCGCCCATCTTCGATTCACTGGTGGTGGGACCTTCTTTAGCTTCTCTATGACGAAGCCGTTGCGTCATCAATCAGTCGAGGCTGAATGCTTTTTTTCCACCTGTATTCCGACAAGCCCCGCCTCCTGCGATAGGATTGGCTTGTAGTTTCCTTCTGACAAGCAGGATTGGCTAAAGATTTCTACTTGGTTCGTTACAAGCTGATCTCGACGAATCAGCAGCCAGTCCCCGCACAGGAGGCGGGATTTACCGGAAAACGGGCGGGGGAGATATACTCCGTTATAACGGTGAACTGGCGCCATTACAACCTGCTAAGTTCAGTTAAACAAACAATGCAGCTCAATGTAAAAATGAGCAGGACTAGATAAAAATACAGACATCAAAGTAAAATATCATATTTTATTTTAACTACAAAATTCACCAATTTCTGCATAAATCCTAAGCATAATTCACTTGCTGAAATGCTGAAATGCAAAAAGGCAGAGTGGTTTGATGGGAAATGCTCCGCTGTAGAGAAACATACTATAGATATACATACAACGTGTCAACGGCGCCGCCATTTTGGGGCGGTCTACATCGCTGCCGGACTGCATTCAGTACCATTACAGAGCGGCAGGTTAAGAAAGATACTGTCCGAAATTACACTATTTCAGGAATATCACTCTCAGAAAGTGGGATAGGATTATATAACGGAGGGAACGCAGTGATCCACACTCATGTCTGTGTGATGTTTGTGTAGATATGGCCGTGTGGTTAATGAGGCACAGAGAACCTGTTGATGTGATTGTTTTTATATTAAGCTTATTCCATTTAATAGTCTATTCAGGGAATCTTAACTTTATGTAGTAGTTATTTATTTACACTGATGGTTAAAGCTTTGTAGCTATAAGTTATAGCATTCCTTAATCCATGTAGATATTAAGGCAGCTTCTTGTTTAAGTTGTGGCTGATTTAATCCTGAGACTCATCATCTCATATCAATGCAAGTGGATTTGTTCACAAGCGGATCTTGACCGCTCCAACATGGCGGACGCGCAGACGTATCCCCTCAGATAGAGAACAGACAACGCGGCATCTGGCGATGTAAATCTACGAAACTTAATAGGTATTCTTGACATTCAGTAATAAATACTACTGTATAAGCAACATCCAAGAGATCAGAAAACTGTTAAACGATCTAATGTATTAACTTTATGCACGAAGCCTTTAAAGGCCTCAAACGCTTCAGACATCGTTATCCCTCCACTGAAATCATTCATTTTACTCACTAGCTGACTGGATCTGAACCCAACTTGAAAATGTTTCTGCTTAACCACTTCATTGAGATTCACTGCCTAAAACATGGTCATGCTAAATGTGCAATTTTTCTTATTTTTGGAGGAAAAAAAATAAATAAATAAATAAAAGGGTGAAAAGTTTACATCTGGCATTTAAATTTAAACAATTAAATTGTATTTAATGAATTTGATCACAGATCCTGGCAGCCGTCACTGCCAATTGCCACCCATTTCCCTCCAGATTAACTTGAATGACATATACATTACTACATAACATGCTCCTGGTCATCAACTGAAGCTGAAATACTGGTATCAAGTAATGTCCAAAAGTAACCAGACACCTTCTAATTAGTGAATTCAGCTACATGCATCCATTGCTGACCCAGAGCGTGACGTAACCATGTCCAATGACGAGCATCAGCTACAGGGGAATGAAACTCCCCGAATGAAGCTGTGGAAGAGTGAGACTGCAGTGTCTGGAGTGATGAAGCACCATCCAGAGTGAATTGGAATGGTGTCTGCAATCCAGAACTACTCTTCCAACAGTACCTAAACTCAGTAATGCTCATGTCTGAATGCAATCAAATCCATACAGCAAATGTTCCAACACCCATCATAAAGCCTTCCCAGAAGAGTAGAAGCAGTTACTGCAGCAAACAGGAGGCCAACTCCCTATTAATACCCATGATTTTATACATGTTGACTGAACAGCTGTCTACCATCTTCGTGTATATTTAAATTATGCAAACCATGTTTAATAAAAGTCAACTCAAGCAAAGTTCTTTGCTCTTTGTCACAACTCTTTAATAAGAACACATTTAATAATATGAAATGGATTTTCCAACCAAAAGAAAACACATATAAAAGATGGATCCTAAGAAAAAAGTGTGACTTAATTATTTCAGAAAAGTCATACAAATTTCTTAAAAAAGGAAAGAAAACGAAAGAAAGAAAAAGAAAAAAAAAGAAATGAAAACAGCAAACAGACTCTGTCAAGGAAGCTCCAGCCTGCAGAGACCCCGAGCTACAATCCTCAGCATTTACTAAAATGTACGCCAATGAAATCAAAAAAATAAACCTCACTCACAGGTACACACATTCCGCAAACAGGCTGCTGGCATCAGTGCCACCTACAGACCTCGTTTTCTGTCAGATTCAAATTAAGCCCCAATAAATTAAACTGTAACAAGTCATCGTTTCTAGTTGCGGTCAGTATGCTGTAACAAAAAGATGGCTGTGAGACCCGGAACTCGGTCCAGAGTCTCAGCTTCAATGGAGAGAATTTACAAAGTCTTGCTAGAATCCTGAACTACAGATGAACGCTCCGGAGGAGGGAGGGGAGGGGAGGGGATGGGTGGTGTGATTTCACTGGAGGTTGATTCTCTTTGGGGTAGGATGAAGTGAGGTCTCAGCACGATACTGCTGCTGAGGATTTGGGGTCAGGCTCCCATTTTTTTGGTAACACAGCAAATAGACAAAGCACCAAGAAGGCAAGGTTACAAGGGAACGTGGCTGAAGAGATAGGAGACAGATTCGCCGTTGTGGGTCCTGCGAATAGCCTCAGCTAGGATCATGGAAATATCAATGACCTGGAGAAAGACAGAAGGAAAAATGATGATCAACAGAGATGGCATGATACCACTTTTTCTGTCCTCCAATACTGATACTGATCCAATGTGATTTCTTTAAAAGATACTGAACTTTACAATCTAAAACACAGCTACCCCACAGGAAACTACACAGCTAACATCACATTACACAGTGCAAGTGTGCACTATTTCAGGCTAGACTTGTCGCAGAACTGGATCCGATTCCAGCCTTTTCTACTGATATTGGTCCAATACGTAGCTCTCTTCATTATGGTGAAAAGTCTATGCCAGTTGACCCGTTCAATGGCCAGGGCCCACAGACGGGCCCAAAGTTTTATTACTTTTACTTCTTTAATCTAAGAATAGCTCATCTAGTTTGCATTGAAGTCCCGGTAGTTGCTAAAAGACGAGCCTCAGTAGGTTATATAAGCCTGGGATTTTAAGCGGTTAAAAGCCCTGTAATTATGAAGCAACTTACATTTTCAGAGGACACATTTATTTACGCCTTTATTTATTCGCCTATTTATTCTAGAAAAGTAACATAAGCAAAAATATAAGCTGAAATCAGCTAAATATGGGATACTTGTTTTAGTATACTAATATCAACCTGCCAAAATGTAGATACAGTACTTCGTCAAATAAAAGACTACCCTTTTATTTTAATCATTTCCAGTTAAAACAGCCATTGAGTACAAGTTAATAATTTTTCAGCATCAGCAAAATAAGCAGAACATATTTAACTTAAAAAGACTATTTTTGAAGATATCTGCAGGAATATTTCTCCATGCCAAGTTGCATTTTCTGTTTCTCACGATCCAAGTAACCCCAGTCCACTGATCTAAGATCAACAGCAGCGTCTTTGTTTGATGTGCAAATGTTCTTTTTTTGTTTGCTTCATCTTCTCAGTAACAGCTACTTGCCAGCAACACATCCTTTCAGGATCTTAGCATTGAGTTTTCTTCTCACAGTGGAAAGATGGACTGAAACATCAATAGATTTCTTTGGATCTGAAGAAAGAGTGGAGTTTAATTTTCTCCTCTCTTTCAAAGATGAAAGCTTTAAGTACTGTTTATTTGATTGAGACAGTTTTTGTGGTCTACCAGGAGCTGCACGGCTCGTATCTGTCAGTGATCTTTTAAACTCCACTTTTGGAAACTCCTGTTTTTTCATGTCTTTTACAATTCCTTATGTACACTAATCACCTATTATACTGTCTATTATATCGACCTCCTCAGAAATATCATCAGAAAAAGATAAATAATATATATTTAATGGAAATTAAAGAAATGAAGGGTGGTTTATGACATTTGCACAGTAAAAAAATGAGGACAATGGCTCACATTTATCAATAGTTTAGACTGTAAGTGCTGATCTCAGAGAGTTTTTGCTCATTTAAACATCTTCGTAAGGGAAAAACTGACGTCTCGCCAGTACTAATCCTGATAAAAAAAATGGTGACCCAATAATCCTGAACTAAGACAAATCTCTACTTCTATTAAGGACGTTGGCATCTGACCTGTATTTTAGGACAATGCTTCATTTTCTCCTCTTGTGGAATGGTGTTAGTCACAACTACAGCTTCAAAGCAAGCATTATTGATCCGCGAAATGGCAGGACCAGAGAAGATGCCGTGGGTAAGGATGGCGTAAACCTTGGTGGCGCCTGCTGAAATCAGCCTAGAAAAACAAGAACGTGAAAGTCAGAGAGGCGTAACTCCTCCAGCCCTCGGATCAATAATAGACATCATTATAATTCCACATGAAGCTGGTTTGAGGAATAACTACACCCTATTTGACAATATATAAAGTGAATTACTTGTCAGCCGCATGGCAGATGGTGCCACATGTGTCAGCCATGTCATCAACCAAGATGGCCACACGGTCTTTCACATCCCCCACCAGGACCATGCGATCCACCTCATTAGCCTTTTTCCTCTCTTTGTGAATGAGGGCAAAGTCAACATTTAGCCTGTCTGCTATGGACGTGACCCTGCCAGCGGAAAAACACATTTTAGGTGCAAACTACGTCAAAGCAAGAAGAACAACAACATCTACGCGGTACAGCACACAGTTAAACGCCAAAGCAAACACACCACACAAGTTTTCACACTCTCGCAATGCAATGCATACATTTGACTGACGCATAAAAATAAGCCATGCA